CAAGGGCGAGATAGGGAAGAAACAAAACGGCAGCAAGCTGACGGGACACGAACCGACACAATCAGCCCATCAAAGAGTAATAAACAATATCAAGATAAAAATAATAAAACAATATTTTAGATAAAATCTTAAAATAAATAGAATGCTAATTATAGAAACAAATTTAATTATAAATAAATTGTATAAGGAATGTTTAATTTATATTTTAACATAAATAACGTGAATAGTTTTGCTAAATTTCTACCGCTTATTTCTATTAATGTTATCCTGTCGATATGATCCCCTGGCTGACTGCCCCTAATTAATATCATCTTTGTCGTTTTCGCCTGAATTTTATAATTATTACGATAAACCACGCCTTTTATCGGCTTAAATTATATTCTTAAGTACTTTTAGTGTTCACATAAATATACAGTAAACATCAGTAGCGTACACTACTTCAAATATCTTTCCATGCTTCATGTTCTTGGAAGTAAATTTGGAATATTTCGTTAATTTTCATTAGCCTTGAAGGCTTAAGCAGGCTTGTCATCTGGAGTAATGTTTAGTATTCCTGCATGAAGATCGATTTGCATCATTTTAGGTAAGCTTCGGACAAGGCGCGTAATATGTTCGAATTATGATATCTATGGTAGCATATAAGATTGTTTTTTACATTTGTTAATGTATAAATACCTTTTTCAGTTTCTTAGTCGCATTTTAGCTCTTTCTGATTCGTGTGCCTTAATTCATATCTGTATCTGATTTTCTACTTGTATATGGCATTTAGAAGCCTATCTTCAATAAGATTATATCACATTTTCTTTTGGCAAATTTGGTATACTGCTTTTTGCTTATTTAACTTCAATATTGGCATCTGTGACATATTCCGAGGCCAAATCTCAGTCAATTCTTATTCTGAGAATTTATATTTGTCTATAGTTTTATATCAAACACATTGTAACTTAAGGATTCAGTCAATTAATACATTTTCGCATGACCTATCTACCTAATTTCTTTTTGTACTTGGCATAATCTACTTGATACACATATGGCATGGACATTTTGCCAAATACCGTAAAGTTTTCTATGCAACTGTGCTATATAAAATATCGCTATTATTATTATAATATAAAAATTGAGATATCATACAATCATTTTATATTAAAACTTAATAATCAAGTATTCACTTGCCTGCAATAGAAATGTAATATAAGTTTTTTTCATTGATTCATAAGAACTAAGGAGTTGGCCGATTGACCCATCTTTTTCTTAGCTGATTCCATTTATATCTTGTAATATTTTTTTAATGCCCTTACCTGACTTTTATAAATTAATATTTTATTTTCACTTCACAGAGCATCCAGTTATCGAAAATATTTTGTATTATTTTTAGATGATTCTATTTTTAAGTGATATACTAATGGATTCCTTATTTTAACCATAGGTGAAAATGACAATTTTTCCAAAATGTTCTAATGGAATCTGATTGATTCTGTCTCACATTCTTCGCTTTGACCCTGAAACTGCCAAAAAAAAGACCAATTTTTTTATCGGACTTCTGGCTTATCAGATCCACCATCACTCTCCAGCTAATAAACTCTGTGTCATCCTATAGATCAATTCCCCCCATCCTCAATGCTAGCCTGCCTCCGTCACTTTAAATTTGATGCCTTAGTTGCATAATGGCTGATTGTCTTGGCCATCGACCATTTTCCCTTATTTCTAGTAAGTCCTCACTTGCTACGAACGAACTCTCATCTGAACTGTGTCGGCCGCAAGTGAACTTACTGGGGACGCAAGACACCGCCCCGACATCCGTTATATGTAATTTCCAGTCTTCATTAATAGTCACTCCTAACTCCATCAGACCTAGTTGTTCCAACCCTATTCTACAATCCACAGATACGACACCCCAATCCTCTTCAGAGATACCTGCTTCCGAAAGTAATATTGTTAACTTTGGGTGTCCACTGTCTCAAAAATTATCCAACTTATCTGCCGTCTCATCTTTTCCGGCGCTGACAAACTCTCCCCGCCAGAGTAGCCAATCCCATGAGCTCGTTTCTTATTTGCCTTCGAGCTCATGCTGTCTTGACTCTACTAGTTTCGAGCCCCGTCCACCTGATTTGGAGTTCGCTTGGCAGAGTTCACATCATCTAGGTGCAGAACAGTCCACTCCTGATCTACTTTCGAGCGACGGGAATCCGGCCCATTTCGAGTCTTCCACTTCCGTCAACTGGCCCTCCGGTGCATCTGATCTGTTCTTCTCATCTTCCTGTCAGCAAGCATCCCTTGAGAATTATACCCTGGAATTCCTAGAGGCGTCATCTCATAAGAACCGGAATTTTGCAAGTAATGGAGGTTCCAGCTACCAAGACCCTTCCCTGACTTCTTTTGGATTGACAGAGATATCATCCACTTCGCCTCTTAAGAAGGCCATTTCTAATGAACAGAACTCGTTTCCCCTTGATTCTATCTCTTTGGATGAAAATCGGTCGAAAGAAACTATCCCTTTGTCATCCGGCCGATTTATTGATGTTGCCTCAACCTTAGAGCTCTCTGATAAACCTTCGCTTTCGTCTCTCTCATCCATGCCTTCCTTGTTACTTTCGTCTACATCTTATAATTCGCAACAAGTTATTGGTCTAGATGGCACATCTCCTGAACATTTGCATTACGCTAGCCTCAGAGAAGGCTGTATTATTGCACCAGATTTACCTGAAGCTTTACCTCGTCCCACTTATTCACATTTGAACTCACTTGACTTTCCTGCCTCTTCTGAACATCCAGCTGTGATTGTTTCGTCAAGTTCCTTGCCCCGTTCTGTTCCGAGTAGAGATCTTACTCATTCTTCAACGATATCTAATGTCCACTTGGACGCCAAGTCACAATTAATTTCCTCCAGCTCGGTTTCCTCCGATGTGCTCATGGCTACTCCATCTGTCGATATTCCTCCAAAAACGGGATCATTTTTGCTACACAATGGGCCTAGCAGCTTCAAGATTCCATTTTCCACTTCCCAATGCCCAACATCACATTATTTGCTGCCAAATTCAGACTTGAGTGATTTGCTTGCATCCTCGACGCAGGGAAGCAACCCAAAGATTGCTGAAGTCAGTGAGCACATGACCTTTCGCAAGCCGGACAATAATTTCGCTTTTGGCCAGGTGAGCTGCTCATCAATCCCTTAACCATTTCCGATTTTAGGACTTACTTTCGCTCTATACCTCCCATGCTAGTTTAGTTATTTTATTGTGCTCCCAAAGTAAATTTTGCAACTAATTTTCCTTAGCTACTTTCATCTTGTCCATTTGATACATTAGTCCTCGTAGTTTCATTTGTACAGGCACTAATAATTTAGGCACTAATAATTTAGGCACTTTATATTAGTATATACTGTAAGATCTAGAGGCTGTTTCAAAAAACGAAATCATAATTGATTCGAATTCTATGCAAATGTTGATTCATTTATAATGAGTGCATCACAAGGACCTGGTGGTGTTCATTTACTGTTCTGACTTTCGAAATGTAAAGCTCTAGTAGTCCTCAACATTGTATTTATTTTTATGTTACTCCACATCTTGCTTTGTTTGAAAAGGCGAATTGAAGGTATATATAATTTTTGTGCCAACCCACAAACGTTGTG